CAAAAAAAAAAAAAAAAAAAAGACAGGGTTTCAATTTGTCACCCAGGCTGGAGTGCAGTGGCACAATCATAGTTCACTGCAGCCTTGAGCTCCTGGGCTCAAGTGCCCCTCCTACCTCAGCCTCCTGGGTAGCTGCGACTACAGGTGTGTACCCCCATGCCTGGCTAATTTTTTTTTTTTTGGTAGCAACAGGGTCTCGTTTGGTTGCCCAGGCTAGTCTTGGATTCCTGGCCCCAAGGGATCCTCCCACCTTGACCTTCCAAAGTGCTGGGATTACAGGCATGAGCCATCACACCTGGCCCATAGCTGGGCTTTAGTAAGATCACTCAGGAAATGATAGACGGAAGGGCAGAAGACAGAAAGGCGATACAGAGTTGGGTTAGAAGAAGGGTCAAAGGGCCTAGGCATACTACAGTAACAACAGATGGAGACAGAACGGCGAGTATTGTACAACAATCCCGCTACAAGAAGGATAATGAAGGAATAGTGAAGAAATACTAATAGCATTTTTTATTTTTGCAATGCCTTGTAATTCCCAAAGTGCTTCAATTATAATTATGATTCTCAAGCCTGGCTACATCTGGAAAGGTTTTTAGAAAAATACCAATTTCTAGGCCTTACACCAACCAAGTAAATCAGAATGTAAACGCCACGAGGGCAGGAATTTTGTCTGTTCTGCTCAGTGTTTGTTTGAACAGCGCCTGGCACACGTGTGGTGCTAAGGAAGTATTTGTTGAATGAATAAATAAATGAATGAATGACCGTACCACTATTAAATGAGATCCAAGCATATCAAGCTCCTACTCCCAGGAGCTTACTTTTTTTTTCCACAATAAGTAAACCTTTCCAATCTCTAAAGCACTACTTATAAAATGTGTCTCAACAACAACTAGAAGTTACTTGATGTCTACTCTGAGCAGGAGGAAAGGGAGGAAACTTAGGCAGTATCTGATCAAATAACAAGAAAAAAATAGGGACCATGGGAGACAGGTTCAGATAAGCTCTAACCTGTATGAGATTTTGAAGTAGTCATATTGTAAGGGTTTAATGCCTAATGAGAAATAACCAGATACCCTGCCCTGAATATTTCAACAAAACCCAAATGCACATACATACCTTTTTTTTCCCTGATAATTCTTTTAATGTATCTGTTCTGGCTTGGTGCAAAGCAATTCTTTTTTTAAATCTGAAAAACAATGGCACATGGAAATAGATGACAACTGTCGGGTCAGACATGCAAGGAACTAGTACACTTAGATAAGGAACAAAGAGCCCTGAGTTCTAAGCAAGAATCATAAAAGTAGAATAAGGGTGGGTACAGTGGCTCATGCCTACAATTCCAGCACTTGAGGCCAAGAGTCCGAGACCAGCTTGGGCAACATAGCAAGACCTCATCTGTACAAAAATTAAATTAAATTAAATTAAATTAAATAAATTAGCTGGGCACGGTGATGTGCACCTGTAGCCCTAGCTACTGGGAAGGTTGAGAAGGGAGGATTGCTTGATCCCAGGAGTTTGAGGCTGCAGTTGGAGTCTCACTCTGTCACCCAGGCTGGAGTGCAGTGGCATGCCCACAGCCACTGCAGTCTCAACTTGTTGGTCTCAGGTGATCCTTCTGCGTCAGCCTTCCCAGTAGCTGGAATTACAGGCACGCATCACCAAGCCTGGCTAGTTTTTTAATTTATTATAGAAATGAGGTCTCACTAAGTTGCCTAGGCTGGTCTCAAACCCATGACTTAGGCAATCCTCTCGCCTTAGCCTCCCAAAGTTCTGGAATTATAGGCGTGAGTCACCGTGCCTGGCCAACCATACACTATTAACATCATTGGCCAAACAATTCTTCATTATAGAGGGCTGACCCATGCACTGTACGATGTTGAGCAGCATCCCTGGCCTCTACCCATTGGCTGCCTGTAATACCTCCCCAGATATGACAACTAAAAATGCCTCCAGCTGTTGTCAAATGTGCTGAGGGAGGGAGAGGGAAAAAGCTAAATCACCTTCACTTTATTTATTTTTTTGAGTTGGAGTCTCACTCTGTCGCCCAGGCTGGAGTGCAGTGTATGCTCAGGCTACCACAGCCTCGACCTGCTGGGCTCAGGCAATCCTTCTGCTTAGCCTTTCAAGTAGCTGGAACTACAGCCACATCCCTTCATATCCATTAATTTTTTTGATTCACTGTAGAGATGAGGTCTCATCAAGTTTCCCAGACTTGGTGTGGGTTCAGGCAATCCTCTCACCTCCACTTCCCAAAGTGCTGGGATTAGGAGGATGTGCCATGGTGCCTGGCTCCACCCTCACTTTAGAACCACTATTCTGTCTAATGATTCGTTTCACCCATCACTACTCAAAACTCTCTCCTCTGCTGGTTTAACTGAGTCTACTTGTGTATAACAATGGTACAATGTACTTGAAATTTTGAAAGTTTTGTTTAAATATATGTGTGTGTGTGTGTGTGTGTATTATATATATATATTTTTTACCTTACTCATCTCTTCTGATCACAAAATTCTTTTTTTTTTTTTTTGAGTCTCACTCTGTCGCCCAGACTGGAGTGCAGTGGCCGCTTCCGGCCACCTCAGCCTCGACCTGCTGGGTTCCGGCGATCCTTCCGCCTCAGCCTTCCAAGTAGCCAGAATTACAGGCATGCGCTACCACGCCCGGCTGATTTTTTGATTTATTGTAGAGCTGAGGTCTCGCTGCCCAGGCGGGTCTCAAACCCGTGGGCTCAGGCAATCCACTCACCTCAGCCTCCCAAAGGCGTGGGATTACAGGCTGAGCCACTGAGCCCGGCTGTTTAAATATTTTTAATGGTACTTGATGAGAGCCTACCTTCTCCAGATGCTAAAATCCTTCCGCGTAGTTAATCCACAAACATTTACTTTATCGCCCACTGCAGGCACTGCGGACTACAGAAAAGATCTGACATCCATATTCCAGACCTGTTCAAGAAGTATGAATAGTATAATTCTCCCTTTACTTTTTTTTTAATCTGACTATCTGAATTCAAGTAAAATATTCTGCCTGACGAGGGCTCTGTGAGATAAGTCACATACCTGATCAGTTATGTGAGGCAGGATCCTCCTTACTACTATTCAAGTAATTTACATATCTAACTGGGAACCAGTGGAGGTTAGAGGGTTGCAAGAGTAGAGGGTTCAGGAAGAGAAGCTAGTAGGGGTGACAAGGGACTGGAGAGTGAACTCTTAAAAAAAAAAAGGATGAAGAGATGACTCAGCTTGAAATAAAGCCTGAAGACCTAAACTTCCACTTCAGAGAAAAAATAAACAGAAGGCCTACAGCTTGCACTCTGACCTTTTAGACGGAGGGTCGGGGGATTGAGCCCAGATCTATGACTCCCGACCCTTGCCCCTGTCCCTAGGCCTGACCATTCATTCAAACCCTCAATAAACAGTGTTACCAGATCTTGCGCAGGGATCACATGTGGCAAAACACAGCCGCGCCCTCGGAGTTTACAAGGGGAGACCGGCACTGAACAAGCCATCACAAGGGCAATGAGGAAAGAATAAGTAAAATCCCAGGGACCGAGAACCCAATCGCCAGAAGACCTTCGCCTTTCTGGTCCCCAGAGCCAAGGCCTCATCCGCCGCCTCGTACCAATGGCCCCGGGTCCTGCCTCCACCGCGCGCCCTCCCACAAGGTTGGCCCGGGTCTGAACGTCACCGTCCTCTTTTGGGATCTACAGACCTCACAGCTGAACTCTACAGATCCTCTCTCCTTCCTCACGCTTCTTCCGCTCTGCAAGTCTCAAGTGGGCCGCGTCAGCCACCGTACGCGAGGCCGTGGCGCGTCTGTGACGTCACCGACGTGCGCCTCTTCTGCACCACAGAGACTATGGCTCTGGGCCGGCATGTGCGGCTGCTGTCGCTCGCAGCTCGGTTGCTCCTGGCGCCCCGGCGGGACCTGGCGATCCGCAGTCCTGATGAGCCCCTGCCGGTGGTGCGCATCCCGCTGGCTTTAAAGCGGCGGCAAGAACAGCGACAGAGCAAGCGGCGGGGAACCCGTGGGCCTGTGCTGGTGCGACCTGGACCGCTGCTGGTGTCCGCGAGGCGTCCGGAGTTGAACCAGCCAGCGCGCCTCACGCTGGGCCGCTGGGAGTGCGCACCGCTCGCCTCGCGTGGCTGGAAGAATCGGCGCGCGCGACAGGACCACTTCTCCATCGAGCGCGTACAACGCGAGGCGCCAGCGTTACGGAACCTCTCGACCAAGAGCAGCTTCGCGGACCTGGGTCTGGAGCCCCGTGTACTGCACGCACTACAGGAGACCGCGCCCGAAGTCATTTGTCCCACCACGGTGCAGTTGAGCACCATCCCCCCACTACTTCGCGGCCGCCACATCCTTTGCGCCGCGGAAACCGGCAGTGGCAAGACTTACAGCTACCTACTACCGCTGTTTCAACGGCTCGTTGGCCTACCAAGCGCGGACTCCCGCCTCCTTATCCCCGCTCCCCGGGGCCTGGTCCTTGTGCCTTCCCGAGAATTAGCCGAACAGGTGCAGGCTGTGGCCCAGCGCTTGGGCAGCTGCTTGGGTCTGCAGGTGCGGGAACTAGGGGGAGGCCATGGCATGAGTAGGATCAGGCTGCAACTGTCCAAACAACCTTCTGTAGATGTGCTAGTGGCCACTCCTGGGGCTCTGTGGAAGGCCCTAAAAAGTCAACTGATCAGCCTGGCGCAACTCTCCTTCTTGGTGTTGGACGAGGCAGACACACTGCTGGATGAAAGCTTCCTGGAACTAGTGGACTACATCTTGGGGAAGAGCCATATAGCAGAAGGCCCAACTGATTTGGAAGACCCCTTCAATCCCAAAGCTCAGTTAGTGCTGGTGGGAGCTACATTTCCCGAAGGTGTAGGCCAGTTGCTGAGTAAAGTCACCAGCCCAGAGTCTCTCACCACCATCACCAGCTCCAAGCTCCACTGTATCATGCCTCATGTCAGGCAGACATTTATGAGGCTGAAGGGAGCAGATAAGGTAACTGAGTTGTTACAGATTCTCAAGCATCATGGCAGAGCTGATAGAACTGGGCCTTCAGGAACTGTCCTGGTGTTTTCTAATAGCTCCAGTACTGTGAACTGGCTAGGATATATTCTGGATGACCACAAAATCCAACATCTAAGGCTACAGGGGCAAATGCCAGCCTCAATGAGGGCAGGTATCTTCCAGTGCTTCCAGAAGGGCTCCCGTGACATACTTCTCTGCACAGACATAGCTTCTCGGGGCCTAGACAGCACCCATGTGGAGCTGGTTGTCAATTATGATTTTCCCCTCACCCTGCAAGATTATATCCACAGAGCTGGGAGGGTGGGCCGTGTGGGGAGTGAGGTTCCAGGCACCATCATCAGCTTTGTGACCCATCCCTGGGATGTGAGACTGGTTCAGAAGATTGAACTGGCAGCCCGCCGAAGAAGAAGCCTTCCAGGACTGGCATCCTCAGTGAGAGAGCCTTTGCCTCAGCAAATCTGATTTTGGCTGGCTTAAATGTGACACCAGAACAGTGAACTTTGCCAGTATCTTGAGTGGGTGAGCATACTTGTCAGTATGAGGCTCTGGGCTGCCCTGGTACCTCCCTTAGGGCCAGATGAGCTGCTGGCCAGCACTGGAAGGGAGGCTACCAAGCATGGCTCCATGTAGTCTCACATGACATGTGAAAGAGTGAATTTTGACTTTATATCATGATTTCTAACAATAAATGGTATTTTTATGTGTCTCCCCTAATAATAATTACCAGTGGGATAGAATTCAGTAGATTCTGAGGATTCATATCCCAAACTGCTACACCTAGAGAAAAGGTCTTTTAGTTGATGTTTTAGTTTGTAAACATTGAGGTTTTATTTCTTGCTCTCAAAAAGTATTCACTAAGCCCCCAGGGGAAAGGAAAGGGAATGTGGCTGTAGAGTTTATCTTTAAGCAGTAGAAATTTTCTTGGTAAAATATCTGGGAATTTAACTGGCAGGAAAGTAAATGGTAGACTGATGCAGAAGTATTGCTTGTATATTTCTTTTTTGGGGGGGGGGTTGGAGTCTCACTCTGTCACCCAGACTGGAGTGCAGTGGCCGGGAGCAGCCTCGACCTGCTGGGCTCCGGCGATCCTTCCACCTCAGCCTTCCGAGTAGCTGGAACTATAGGCGCTCGCTACCACACCCAGCTAATTTTTTATTTATTGTAGAGATGAGGTCTTGCCAAGTTGTCCAGGCGGGTCTCGAACCCCCGGACTCAGGCAATCCACTCACCTCAGCCTCCCAAAGCGCTGGGATTACAGGCTGAGCCACTGAGCTCAGCTCTGCTTGTACATTTCTAAGCCCTACCTTCTATCCCAACTCTCAGTGGCAAAGAAAGGGGGGATGATTAAACTGTTTTACAAAATTGACAAAATAAGCACATAGGATTGCTTTATTGTCAACTGGGTTACAGTCTCTGTGGCATTATATAAGCTTTGCCTCTGAACTAAAGAACAGTTGACAGTCAAATATAATATTCCACAAAACAACTTTAAAGTGCTTGCACACTGAAAAGAGTAAGGTTGCACAAGACAGAAATGAGTTCAGGGCAACCTTTTCCAAAAGAGAATATTGTATTAAACATACAATTATAGGGTAACTCCCTCTGGTCCCCTCTCACTGTGGGAGCTTTTCTGTCCTCAATGAATGCTGCTTCAAAAAAAAAAAAAAACTATAGCTGTCTTTCTCATATGAAGAAATAGGCTCAAAGGGATAAAAAGAATGTGCCCAAGAGCACACAAGTAAGTAGGACAGAATCTGGTCTTTTTGCACCAAAAATTGTGATTCGTTTGTTTGCTTTGGAGGCAGAGCCTTGCTCTGTATCCCAGGCTGGAATGCATTGGTACAATTATAGCTCACTGCAACCTCAGACTCCTAGACTCAAGTGATCCTCTTGCTCCAGCCTCCTGAGTTGCTAGGCAAAGAAAGGGTGAACTCCATCATGCACAACTAATTTATTATTTTTTATTTTTTGAGATGGGTATCTTGCTATGTTACCCAGGCTGGTCACAAATTCCTGATCTCAAGCGATCCTCCCTCCATCTCCCAAAGTGCTGGGATTACAGGTATAAACCTCCACGCCCAGCCAGATTTCCTTTTTTTTTGAGTCAGGGTCTCACTCTGTCGCCCAGGCTGGAGTGCAGTGGCACACTCATGGCCACCCCAGCATCGACCTACTGGGCTCAGTCAGGCAATCCACCTCAGCCTTCCAAGTAGCCAGAACTACAGGTGTGTTCTACCATGCCTGGCTAATTTTTTTATATATATTGTAGAGATGAGGTCTCACCAAGTTGCCTGGGCTGATCTCAAACCCCTGGGCTCTGGCAGTCCTCTCTCGGCCTCCCAAAGTGCTGGGATTACAGGCTTGAGCCACCACACCCGGCCTGGGTTGTGTTCTTAACTACCAGCCTAGCTTTTCTTAAATGTGATTGCTATGTCGAATAACTACATCTCTGTTTTCCTGTGATATTCTTGTTTATATCTGTTTGCTGGTGCTGTTTCTAATATAGCCTACTTTGACTATCCCAATTTAGGAAATTTGTTCACTCTATCTATGGATCACTGTGGCAGAACTACCTGGGAAATTTGTTTAAAGTGCAGATTCCAGCTGAGTGTGGTGGCTCATGCCTGTAATCCCACCACTTTGAGAGGTGGAGGCAAGAGGATTGCCTGAGGCCAGGGGTTCAAGACTAGCCTGGCAACTTGGTGAGACCACATTTCTACAATAAATCAAAAAGTTAGCCAGGCATGGTGGCACACACCTGTAGTTCTAGGTACTTGGAAGGCTGAAGCAGAAGGATTGTCTGAGTCCAGTAGATAAAGGCTACAGTGGCCGTGAGTGTGCCACTGCATTCCAGCCTGGGTGACAGAGTGAGACTCCAACTCAAAAAAAAAAAATTAAAATTAAAAATAGATCAGGCGTGGTGGCTCAAGCCTGTTATCCCAGCATTTTGGGAGGCCAAGACGAGAGGATTGCCTGAGCTCAGTGGTTCGAGACCAGTCTGGACAAATTGGAAAGACCTCGTCTCTACAATAAATCAAAAAATAAGCTGGGTGTGGAAGCATGCTCCTGTAGTTCTGACAACTTGGAAGACTGAGATGGAAGGATCGCCTGAGCCCAGCAGGTCGAGGCTGCGGTGGCTGTGAGCTTGCCACTGCACTCCAGCTTGGACAAGAGAGTGAGACTCCAACTCAAAAAAAATAAAAATAAGCCGGGCTCGGTGGCTCAGCCTGTAATCCCACGCCTTTGGGAAGCTGAGGTGAGTGGATTGCCTGTACCCGCGGGTTTGAGACCCGCCAGGGCAGCTTGGCGACACCAAATCTCTACAATAAATCAAAAATTAGCTGGGCGTGGTAGCGCACGCCTATAGTTCAGCTACTTGGAAGGCTGAGGTGGAAGGATCACCGGAGCCCAGCAGGTCGAGGCTGCGGTGGCCGGGAGTGACCACTGCACTCCAGTCTGGGCGACAGAGTGAGACTCCAACTCAAAAAAAATTTTAAAGTGCCAACTGGACACAGTAGCACATGCCTATTATCCCAGCACTTTGGGAGACTGAGCTAAAAGGATTACCTGAGTTCACAGGTTCAAGACTAGCCTGGGCAACTCAGCGAAACCACCTCTACAATAAATCAAAAAATTAGCCAGGCATGGTGGCTCGTGCCTATAGTTCCAGCTACTTGGAAGGCTGAGGCTAAAGGAGCACCAGAGCCCAGCAGGTCAAGGTTGCAGTGGCCATGAGTGTGCCACTGCCCTCCAGCCTAAGCAATAGAGTGAGACTCCAACTCAAAAAAGTAAAAAATAAATTTTTTTTAAAGTGTCAATTCCTGGACCTTACTCCAAATAAGATTAACCTCTCTGAGGGTTGGCCCAAGAATCCTAGTTTTGTAATCTCCCCAGGTGGCTCTCAAGCTTTCCTAAATTGATAAACCATTTATGCTGTACTTCCCTCCCCAGAGTCCTAGCCAGATCCTGGTAAGGTATCAGTACCCCCACCAGATCAGAGGGATGTTCGCAAACAAGTACTCTCCAGCCCCTTGGAGAATCTGAGTGATCTCATGCTTGTCCTGCCAGGACAAATCTTCCTGGGAACCCTCCCCTCTCACCACTTTTACTTCCTACCACTCCCCACAGGCAGTCTGCTCTCACTGGGCCTGACTTCAGTCTGTTCTTACATGCACCATGCTAATTCAAGCAGCTTATGAGAGAAGATGCTATGATTCTCAAACAGGGTTGCCAAACTTCCAAAATAGTAATTTGGGCACATCCCCTCTGCAGTAGTCCCCACTAAACAAATGTTTACACTTTTCAGGAGTCCCCCCTGAAGTTTATATCTCTTTACTAGGAAGTGCTTAGACACAGTGAACCAAAGGCTGTTGCTATTCTAGGCCTGATCAGGCTAAGGGCAGAGTTGTCTATTTCTTCCTCTGAACAGGACCAAGTCATCTTTTGGTAACACCTTTTCATAATGTTGACCCTGCTTTTCACCTGGGCCACTGCTGAGCCCACATGTCTCCTTTTCACGGTGATGGGACTTATTTCATTATTTGCCTTTTTTGAGGAGAAAGGAGTATAATGATAAGGTTATCATTTTGTATTATTATCTTGCCATGAATTTGTTTTGAATTTCATGTTTAATAGGCCTATCATAGACCTTTGTGAAGTCATGTGGACCCTCATTTTGTCTTGGAGCACCTTTAACATCCCTCCTAGGGTTCCTCACCTCTTTTTGGGTTTTTTTGAGTCGGTGTCTCACTCTACTGCTCAGACTGGAGTGCAGTGGCACACTCACAGCCACCACAACCTCAACCTGCTGGGCTCAGGTGACCCTTCCGCCTCAGCCTTCCAAGTAACCAGAACTACAGGCGCACACTACCATGCCCAGCTAATTTTTTTATTTATTGTAGAGACGAGGTCTCTCCAGTGTGCCCAGGTTTATCTTGAACCCCTGGGCTTAGGCAATCTTCTCACCTCAGCCTCCCAAAGTGCTGGGATTACAGGCTTGAGCGCCACGCTCAGCCTACCACAACTTTGGATGTGATAAATTTGTCCTCACATTTCTATCAGCTATAAATCTGGAACCCCAAATGGAGCCCTGCTAAGCAGAATGCCTCTCTACTGCCTGTGTGACCTTGGGTAGGCCTCCTAACCTCTTGGGTTTTTTGAGTCCTCAGTTGTAAAAACAGGAGGGTTCAATAGATACACATTTGGGGCAGAACAAAGTCAAGAAGAGCCTGTCCTTGCATTTATTCTAACAAATGTCTTCTCTGTCCCTTCCACATGTCCAGATCTCACTTATCCTTCAGACCTACTTACAAGGAGCCTTCCCTGATCCCCAGTCCATCCAATCTCTGTTGAATGCTTAGGGTCACTGCCCTGCTCTCCTCCACTAAACTCCAAGGACTTGAAGCCTGCCCCCACAAGTCACAGGTTCTTTATGTGACTCACTGTGTAGTGATGACATCACAAGCCTTATCAGTTTCCATGGCAGGATAACTGCGCTAGGCAAACACGGTGTCCTCGAGGAAACCTCCCTAATGTTTATAAGATCCCAATCTGTTTGACTGCCTGAGAGAGAATGTCTGACCGGATCTTCTATATTCACTCTAACCTGTCCTCTGTTCCCTGGGAGGGCAGTACAGCAGGTAGGCCTACATTGGACATCTGTACAGGAGGCATTAGTATATGCACAACCTCACATGGCCCGCCACATGTTGTTTTTAGGTTTGCCTACCACACCTCAAAACTTTCCCAGCCATAAGTAGTACCAGTGGCCTAGGGCCCCTCAGAGACCTGTGGTGTTCCTGCTCACTGCTGAGGGCAAGTGAAATGTCATCTCTGAGCAAGTGTTGAGAAAGGTGCTAATCTTTATAAATTTAACCTTCCCTTTTAAACTACAAGATGCTCCCAATTAGACCATTTCCTAATTGGCCTCTTAGCAAAAACCAAGTGTGTTTTTGTTGGCAAGTGATAAATGGAGGAATTTGAGGAAGAGCTGTTGAGGTCGCTCATAAAACTCACCAGACCCGGGTACCATTACTGTGCTGTCATGATCCAAGGGCCCTTTCAGACATATCCCAGTCTGAACTGCTGAATCTGGAGAAAAGGGTGGTGTCATATAGATGGAAAAAACCAAAGAGCCAGGGAGAGTGATGTGGTATCACTGAGACTGGAGGCCTGAGAAAAGGGTGTCCCAGGATTGAGTTGAGAAGGCTCCTGGAGCCTACCCTTGGTATCCAGAATCCAGCACTGAACCTCCTTGATCACTCTGACTCAACTTTGGCCTTTAGAAAGTATTAGAAAATTGTCAGCCAGGCTCGGTGGCTCAGTCTGTAATCTCATGCCTTGGGAGGCTGAGGTGAGTGGATTGCCTGAGTCTGTGGGTTCGAGACCCACCTGAGCAACTTGGTGAGACCTCATCCCTACCATAAAAAAAAATTAGCCGGGTGTGGTAGCGCGCGCTTGTAGTTCCAACTACTTGGAAGGCTGAGGTGGAAGGATCGCCAGAGACCAGCAGGTAGAGGCTGCGGTGGCCGGGAGCCACTGCACTCCAGTCTGGATGACAGAGTGAGACTCCCACTAAAAAAAAAAAAAAAAAGAAGAAAATTGTCACCTAGACCAGGCATAGTGGCTCATGCCTATGATCCCAGCACTTTGGGAGGCCGAGGTGAGAGGATTGCCTGAGCCCGTGGGTTTGAGACCAGCCTGGGCAACTTGGCGAGACCTCATCTCTACATTAAAAAATAAAAAACATTAGCCTGCTGTGGTGGCATGCGTCTGTAGTTCCAGCTACTTGAAAGACTGAGGCAGAAGGATCGCCTAAGCCCAGCAGGTCGAGGCTGTGGTGACCGTAAGCATGCCACTGCACTCTAGCCTAGGTGACAGAGACTCCAACTCAAAAAAAAAAAAGAAAGAAAATTGTTACTAGGTGTGATGGTTCATGCCTGTAATCCCAGCACTTTGGAAAGCAGAGACAAGAGGATTGCCTAAACCCATGGGTTTGAGACCAGCCTGGACAACATGGCAAGACCTCATCTCTACAATAAATCAAAAAATTAGCTGGGCATGGTAGAACATGTCTTTAGTTCCAGCTACTTGGAAGGTTGAAGTGAAAGAACTGCCTGAGTTCAGCAGGTCAAGGCTGCAGTGGCCATGAGCATGCCACTACACTCCAGCCTGGGTTACAGAGTGAGACTGACTCAAAAAAAATAAAATTGCCAAACACAGTGGTTTTCACTTGTAATCCCAGCACATTGGGAAGCTGAGGATTGCTTGAGCCCAAGTATTCAAGACCAACCTGGGCAACTTGGCAAGACTTTATCTCTACAGAAAAAAAAAAAATTAGCCGGGCATGGTGGTGGCACTCGCCTGTAGTCTCAGTCACTTGGGAGACTGAGGTAGAAGGATCACCTGAGCCAAGGAGGTCAAGGCTTCAATGAGCTGTGATCATACCACTCTACTCCAGCCTGAGTGACAGAGTGATGCCCTGATTCACAAAAGAAAAAAGTATTAGAAAATTTAGATGAGGCTGAGCATGGTGGCTCAAGCCTGTGATCCCAGCACTTTGGAAAGCCAGGGTGAGAGGATTACCTAAGCCCACAGGTTCAAGACCAGCATGGGCAACATGGTGAGACCTTGTCTCTACAATAAAATCAAAAAATTAGTCGGATGTGGTAGTGTGCACCTATAGTCCTGGCTACTTGGAAGGCTGAGGCAGAAGGATCGCCTGAGCCCAGCAGGTCAACACTGGGGTGGCCATGAGCATGCCATTGCACTCCAGCCTGGGCAACAGAGTGAGACTCCAACTCAAAAAAAAGAAAAGAAAAAATTTAGATGAAAGTATCAGAGGCCTAGAGTTCAGAGTGGTTGACACAGGCAGTATGAATGGGGCCCAGGAAGAGCTGCCAAGGCAGTAGTGGTTGTTTTCACCTATTTATATTAGATCATTCTTTCTAAAACATGAAAAGCATTCCCATTAAAGATTTAAGAAACGTTTTCTTTTTTCTTTTGAGTCAGAATCTCACTCTGTCACCCAGGCTGGAATGCAGTAGCATGCTCACGACCACCGTAGCCTCAACCTGCTGGGCTCAGGCGATTCTTCTCCTTCAGCCTTCCTAGTAGCTGGAACTACAGGTGTGCGTCACCATGTCTAGCTAAAGTTTTTTTTTTTAAATTTATTGTAGAGATAAGGTCTCACCAAGTTGCCCAGGCTGTTCTCGAACCTGTGGGCTCAGGCAATCCTCTCACCTCAGCCTCCCAAAGTGCTAGGATTATAGGCATGAGCCACTGCACTCAGCCAAGAAATGTTTTCTTAAGGGAGAGACTGAGAGTTTCCTGATTACAACCATTTTGAAGTTCTACTGTTTTGAGAACAGGGAGGATATTTTGGTCACCTGCTGCGGCCACAGGCTCCCCGAAATTGCTTTTTTAGCCAGCATCTTGTCTTTAGGAGACTCTCAGAGGTAACACACCAAGCAAGGTAGTGTTTGGGATGCTAGACAGATAAGTGAGCTTCAGCCAGGAACAAAAAGAGACATGGGGGGGAGCCTGGTAGCACAGCAAAAGTGACTGATTGGTTCTGGTTTTCTTTCCAGCAGCAGTGCCTCCCATTTCTCCCCCTACACCTGGTCACTACCATGTCCTGTATCGAGGGTATGGAGAAACCCAGGTAGGTTGGCATGGGGAGACATACTGCCTGGTTGGCAGCTACCGGGTCTATGGAGATGCTCCTGTGGCCACCCCAGCAAAGGCTGAAGCAGAGAATCCAGCCCCCAGACGAGCTCCCAAGAGGCATCAGGATCTGGCAGGGTCAGATGAAGTTCTAGGTTGCCCTAGCCCCAAAATTCGGAACTTACAGCATGGTGGCAGGAGGCAGACCCCACAGAAGCTTGCTGCCTGAGCCACTCTGTATAAAGGACAAATGTTTAACTGCCTAAGACAGCTAATGCCTCTTCTACACTGATCTCAGTGCCCACCATTGGAGATAGAACCTGAGTCATTCCGCCTAAACTCTTCCTCAGCCATGAGACCCCTTCCATACTAACTGGCCATGGGCAAGGAGTCTCAGAAACTAAGGTTTGAAATGAGAGGCTGCTTTGAACATCCCAGGGCTGAGCTGGCTTGGAAGAAAACCTGATGTTCCTCTAGTCAGAGTCCCTTCTTAGGCAGAAGAATTAAAAATCTGTACTCTGCTAACTGAGAAGTCAGGGGCAGAGAAAGAATGCAGAATAGCCTAGCAGGGGCTCAGTCTACCAGATGGGATCTTGTTTTGAGTCACTGCCAGCAGCCAGCAGCACAAACCAGGAGGGATCGGGCTTCCTATACCTGGAGGAAGCAATCTGGCTACCCACAGCAAGAAGAAGGCTCCTGTCTGGGGTCTCAGGAGGCAGAATAAAGAGACCAGAGAGACCTGCCACCTACCGCAGGAACAGTATGGGAAAGTTGAATAACATCTCCCTGAGGCTCACCTGCTCCTATATTCCCAGCCCTCTATGGCCTCACTGGGATCCCTACTGCTCAATAAAATTATTTCCCATAGTAGTGTTTTACTTTAAGCCCAGCTTTGATCTAAGGCTAAGCACCAAACCTCCCTGTTCCCTTGAATTGCAATCCTACAAGGAGGACCTTCTCCCTTCAAAATGGACCCTTGGCCAGGTGTGGTGGCTCATGCCTGTAATCCCAGATCTTTGGGAGGCCAAGATGGGACAATTGCTTGAGCCCAGGAGTTCAAGACCAGCCTGAGCAACATAATGAAACCTCATCTCTACAAAAAAAAAAAAATACAAAAATTAGCCAGGCATGGTGGCATGTGCCTGTAGTCCCAGCTACTTGGGAGGCTGAGGCAGAAGGATCACTTGAACCCAGGAGGTCAAGTTTGCAGTGAACCATAATCTTTTTTTTTTTTTGAGTCGGAGTCTTACTCTGTTGCCCAGGTTGGAGTGCAGTGGCATGCTTACAGTCACTGCAGCCTCAACCTGCTGGGCTCAGGTGATCCTTCTGTCTCAGCCTTCC